GGACCTGGGAGATCCAGCTTCTAGTCCCTATTTGTCCATGAAGTTCACTGGGTTCCCTTTGCCAGTCATGAACTGCCAGCCTAACCTACCACAAAGAGTTGTTGTGAGGATAAATCCGAAATCACTCTTCTTTTCACACAGGAGCAACTCCTTCCAAATCCTTTATCTTCAGCACCTCACCCCATATTCCACATTATTTGTGAAGGAACCCCTGTTGCAGGTTGTGAGTTTTGGGGATATGTGTGTTTCTGTGTGTGCATATACCCAAGCAATCATTGTGCTATTAGCTAAGAAGTAGGACAGGTCTGAACATTAGTACTACCCTTGAGCACTTATCTGAGATGTTAAAGATGACTATATCATAGCTGAATGTATTCCTCCCAGTCACTGTTACACACCAAAGCTATCTAAGCCAAAAATCAAAGGGTGTGATTTGGAACTCAAATATCTAACTGTCCAATCCTACCCAAATTTAGAGGGGAAAGTCCCACATAAGGGCAAGCTAAGAGTTGTAAGCCTTCTTTCTCTATATATGCATAGGACTGTGCCTTAACACATTTTGCTAAAGAATTTGCCCTCCCCTTGGAGCAGGCAGTAGGAATTTATATCTATTCACATGAAGTGGCACCAAAACCTCCTATTTGTATCTTCTGACTTATTTAGGGCTGTCAATTGAGAGAGAAATCTTATCTGATCAGTCAATTAATTCTGCAAATACTGGCACAGTTGTAAGGAAAAAGTGTCCCTTGTTCTTGGAGACCTGCATGTGTGGTAGGAGGCACCAACTGCTTCCTATCTGCAGTTTTTATTTGTTCTTGATTTTAAAAAAAGTCTGAGTAATTCAGGACAGTGCAGTGGCTCAAAATGTTTAGCAATCAGTCAACTATATTAAATGCTGGCATGAACCAAAGCCATAAAATCATCCTGTCACTGGCAGAGTGAAGGTGGGATGTGTATGAAGATTTCTGAGCAACTGTAAAGGCTTCTGTTTATTACGGTAAACAAAACAACAGTAAACGACATACATTGTTGCATGTAAATTTGTGAAGAAACAGACCATTGCAAGCAGGCAATTTGAAAGTGGAAATACTTGCTAAAGCCTTAAAGTAAACATTTGTTTTTAGGACAGCTCTTGTAAGATTAATCAGAGATTGCTGTTCTGCCCCAGTTGGGCATTAATTTTATTGTTATTCCCTAAGGCTTGTATTTATAATCATGGTGGACTCTAGCAGCCTTAATATCATGTGTTGATTGGTTGTACCTAGGAAGATTTCCTATCCAGTTTGTTCCAGGTCTTTCTCAATTTGGAAGAAACCTTCCTGGGGCAGGGTGGGGTGGGATGAACACTCTTCGCTGCTGCTGCTGCTCTAGATTGAGGGCCTGGGCTTGTTCTGTATTTTCACTTTATCAATCCACTTCAACACATTATCTCATCTCATCCATGGCGCTCACCTGTTCATTCACTTCAGTTATTATGTATAAATTCTGAGTTAGTATTATAGTTTTAATGTGCATGCCTGCAGACATATTTTGCATTTTATCTATGGAACATCACACCCACTTGGAAAATCCAACTTCAGCAATTTCAGCAATACAGAAAAGCACAGTTCACATGTCATGGTGTATTATTTAACCCGGTTTGTGGGGAGGCGTGTCACCTGAAAGCCACCTCCAGTTTGCCTAGCGGCCTGTGGTTGTTAACCACTTGGTTGTTTCACATCAGTCCAGGTTGGCATCTATTTGGAGATGATTTACAGAAAATGAATATGGTTCACACTCAGTGCACATCTCAGCAAATCATAAGTTAATTCAGTATTTGCCACCTTGATGTGCAAACTGTCTCAAAGTTAGATGCTGCCATTCTGAACTTCTGAGCTCCTTCTACTCCTCAGTTGATACAGTACAAAGCAACAAACCTAAATAGGCCACAACGTGTGCATCCACAGGGGCCTACAGCCTAATCTTAGGTCGTCCTAGCCTATATGTATGACAAATATTTTTTCCCCCAGTATCTTTTCTGGTCAGTTATGGTCATGCTTGTCTTCTTCAGTTTTACACCTACATAATGTAATATGTGACACCTATAAGCCAGACATATTACATAAGTAAGTTTGAACAACATGCTTACAATGGAGTTCGCCTCTTCTCACTGCCAGACAAAGACTGCACGCATCATCTTTTAACATGTGTACTGCTACACCTTAAAATCATGTTTTCTGTTTCTAGCTTTCTTTAAACCCTGCATTTTCTTACTACTTCTAAAATAAAGTTGATTGTACTGGTTTTTTTTTAAATCTCTGCTGTATATCTTTTTGTTTTTATTTTTTGTGTCACCCTGAGAACTTCAGCTATAGGGTGACACATAAACAGAATATATAATCCCCCTGCATAATTTTGCAACCAAAAATCATTCACCCACTGCTCATAAATTGCTATTTGAAACAGTAAGCGGCTTCAGAGTTTTCTGCAGAAAAATGGTAAGGATGAAACATTAAAGCCCCTGACCCTACATTCACAAGGATTGCTGCTTTTTGTTGAGAATTAGGTATAGACAATTGTGAATATGCTATTAATACAACACATACCTTTGCGCCAATGTCTTGCCTGTTCTACTGCTTATCATATTCTATAACCAACAACTGAGTTTTGCCCTAAATTTGACTGCTATATTGCCGCAATTATCTTTCTTAACAAAAATTAGATTGAGGGAGAAAAAAACCCATTTTTTAAAAAAAGTAGACCTCATTTTCTAAGGTGGAGTTAAAGGCAGGCCCCGGTTCTCAGATTAAAGACTATTATGGCTCTAGTCTAGAGTAAACCAGTCTATATAGATCATCTGGGTGGTCTCAAGCAGAATAGGGAGATCCCCTTTCCAGTTCCAGAGAAAAACAAGTTTTGCTTTAAAGTTCTGTAGTTCCTGCAACAACTTGGTTTTCAATATACTTGTGCAGCACTATGCTAAAATGTTCCTTGTGTAATGCCAACACTCAACCCATGTCTAATTATGGTTTTGGCTTTGATGCAATTTTGTGGGTGTGTAAGCAATGAGACATAAGTAAAAGGCCATGTAAAGCAACGATCAGAGTCTAGCTAGACATTAAGAACAAGCTTTTCTCTTTGTTAAGGGGGGAGGGGGTATTCTGTGTTTATTTTAACATTAATTTGATATATAGCAAGCAAAGAAATGTTGACTTAGGAATTCCAGAGAAACAGTTTATGGAGAGGCTTAGAGATTATCAGGTAGTTTGTATTTTTTCTAAAAAACACTATTTTCTAAAACACACTATAAAATTAGTTTTGTAACTGTTTTTCCACTTTCTGAAGCCACAAGTACTATGCTAGTTTTACTACAGTAAAAGTGCTATGAACTGCCCCCCAAAAGCTTGGGTGAGATAGAAATGAAATTAATGTGATCAGAATTTGAGCTCCTTTACACTTAATGGCAAATCATAGATTTGATGGCATGAGTGGGAGTGAGCAAATATGTTTTGATGCATCCCTTGCTTCTGTTTTCTTTTCATAACTTAGAATTGCCCTGATCATAGACCGATCTCATAATGTCCAAGTCTGTTAAGTTTGTTGTTGGGTTAACTCTGGATTGTTTCAACCCTAAACAACCCAGAATCCATGGGTATAGATGTCATGAAAGATGTAGATGTCACGCTTTTATTCACCCAACATAAAATAGAGACGTTGTTCAGTCAATGGGAGTAAAGCAAGCAATGTCACATCTGAGTTGAAGGTAGTAGAAATCAAGGGCTACAGATGACTATTTCTGCAGCTGCTCTTACCAGGGACTCTGTGGTGTTCCCTTATTTAAAAAAATGGTAAAATAGCAATCCCAGCTCTGGGCTGGAAAAGCTGCGATGAAGCATAGAAACCTAAGAACAGACTGTTGTATCTCGGTGGTTTCCAAAAACTACCTCTACCATGCAGGAACTGCAGAATTGGATCCAAGTAACACAACAAACCCAGTATGGCAAGATTGCACCATGGCTTCCTGTGTTGTGTGAACCGCTCTCTGAAAGCAGCCATAAACAAGACATAGACTTGGCAAAAATGCAACTTCAACTGCAAGCTAGTTAACATGTAACTAAGCCATGGTTTACTGCTACATGCATGAGCCTGAATGGCCCCTTGCTCTTCTCTCCTCCTCCTGTTTGTCTGGAAGAACATCAGCAGAGTTCTTTCACTTCCCACAAATCCTGGAATGTTATGAATTAACAACAAAGATGGTAATTTCAAGCAACATATCATCAATTTTTAAATAAGTCAGCTTCAAACTATAGACTTGAAGCTAGCTTGTTTAAAATCATGATTTCATGTCAATATAAAATGAATGTAAGCTACATAGGAGATAGGCAGAAAAGGAGCATGCAAGCCAGATGCTTCACTCTGATTCATTAAGACTGGTTAGCATGGATAAGCCTCAACAATAGATACTGAAGTAACATAATACTTGAGAAAGTGCAGTTTGATCCTATCCTCCTATTTAAGAAAGTATCAGATTAATAAGGCTGAAATTCAGCCACAAAAGCATAGTAGCAGTGATATCCTATTCCCCTGAGTTACCATCTGGCCACCTCCAGGAAGCCTCCTAGAAAAGAATAAAGGCCTTAATTTTGTCTGTCTGCCCCCTCCCATTACCCCTTTCCCAGCAATCAACAATCAGCAATAGGTTACCTGAGAATACAGAGGTTTTAAGGGTAATGGACAATGTTGAAAGTACTAGTCTTCCTAAATTTGTCCATCTCCTTTAAAAGGCATCTAGGTTAGTTTCCGGTCATGATGGAGTAAAATACTCCTATAGGACACAACCTATCCACAACCTAGAGAGGAAAAAGTGACATATCACCAAACTCCCCAGTCAGTCGTCATGGCTAAGGAAGTCTATGTGCTGGAGAACTTTTTCTTCTCGAAACATACATGTAATAATAGCCTTAGTATCAAAATAGCATGGTATGTCAAAATGCATTACATTCAAATGGGACCAAGAAGAATTTCTTAAAGTATTTTTTATTACTAATCAAGAGGAGTTGTAAAAACAACCTTAGTATAAAGGCACATGAGACAGTTTTGATAATCAAATTAAACAGTAACTTACAGTACAAAAGACAGTCTTTATGCACATACAAACCCCAAACATCTCATTCAAAAATATTTCAACCATTATTCATGGGCAATGATAGAAATATAAATTGTCCTTGTACAATAAATACTTGTTAGTAGGTGCAAATTGAAGAAAACTTATTGCTTTCCACATAGGTGTTTCCCTGTACTGTACACTGAAAATTGTGGACTCCTTTTGTCATTAGAATCCTGCTTGTCAGCACATTATTTCAAGGGGGAACAATGAACTCCAACCCCAACCTCACAAGGAACATTTGGCAGCTGAACTGTCTCAATAGCTGGCAGTGTTTTGTGTTGTTTAAAGCCTACAGCAATCTTACATCTCATTCATCAGATGAGTATTAATGTTGCAGTAAAACAAGGTCTTGTGGCAGGCTAGTGTTTAGTCTCATATTTAAGATTTGCTCAAAATTTGAACGAAAACAAAGCCAACAGAAATCCTATGTGAATACATGCAAAGAAACCCAGAGAAAATTAGGCAAGATTATGCTACCTGAAATAACTGGCATATTTCAGTCTAACTTAATCAGTGAGACCAAGCATGCCTAATGTGCTCTGGTTTATGCCATTTCAGAGGTGAAAGGCATTGCCAAAGCAAGAAGAATTCTTCCAGCAGGAGATAGTCCAACAACTAAATGAATGAAAGCCACACTGTAAAGACACAATTTGCAAATAAGCAGCTGTATGCTATGATCAAGCAAGCCAAATAGATGGCAGGTTTTCAATTATTCTTCCCAACTTTCTAAGATAATATACACATTTTCACAGCTTTGAAATAGACTGGGGGTTATTCATTCCTTTCCTACTGCTTTGCACCACCTGGTCAGAAATATTTCTCAGCACCATACTCAGAGTACATCTCAGAGTACACAAATTTGTTTTATTCTACCTTAAAGAATTGACTAGTTGTAGTTACTTGGTTGCTGCTATAAGCAGGAGTCTTTTTTGAGGATTAGAATTAATCAATCAACAGTTCCTCTGTGATTGCTACCATGGGCAAACAAAAGCAAGCAACCTTTAAAAAAAGTTTAGCAGTGATCAAGTTTCTTGTTCAGCTTATGACTTGTGGGAGCTGCTTCAGGTAAACAGAAGATAAAACATTAGAAGATTGTTTGAATTACAACTGAAAGACTTAATGCAATGCAAGGCCTCTACAGTAAACACGAAGAGTACTATTAAATAGTCAACCCCATGCTTGAAAGTTCCGTAAACATTGTTACATTGCAAATTCAGCAGAACTTTGAATAATGGGGAATAAATGCTAGCCTGCTAGGCATTTTCTCATTTGCACGTGGAGCTTCCTAGGCTTTTAACTAGTAGTGAAGTTTCTCCCAAGAATAACTATCAACTCGCTGAAGTTTGAGTCAATATGTTAGCGCCACTACAGTACATAATTTTAAGTGACTAGGAACCGATACACAACCATTTTCTTTGGCTTATGGTTTACTATACTAGCTAAATGTTGTTTTGCCTGTATTTTAACTAGCTGTACTGTTTCTCTACAAACTAAGTTTAGGTTCCATCAAGTCATGCTTAAAGTGCACCCATTAAAATCAATGGGGCTATATTTATTATTATCATCTTAAAGTCCAATTGTTTTCAGTCTATCTGCTCCAAGCATGACTAAGTCTGGATCCAATCCCTTATCTTTGTTAAAAATTAGATTCCTATACAGTGATTCCCTGCTGAATATATATTTTACATACTGGAATAAAGGTGGAATTTTATAATTAACCAGTTTGTGAAGCATTACCTGCAGTAGAATTACAAAGAATTCAATTGTAACTAGGTTATGTTCACACAATATTTAAGAATGCTTTTATAAGCATATTCTTAATAAGGCATATAAACAGTAAGAAATCATGGAAAGAACTCAACATTAGAGTAAGCATAGGAAACCTATACTCAAATGGCGCACAGCATTAAATGAAAACCTACTAGTTTCAGGTACAATGAGGGACACCTAGGGCTTATCAGCATGTATGTAAATGCCACTTTAGTAAGTAGTATGAATGGGGTAGGGGAAAGACAATGACATTGGAAATAAAAGCCTTTAAAACAGGCCAATACAACTTGACTTTCCAAGTAAGGGCATCAGTCTCACAAAATCGTGGTACTAACGCAGGTTTATGTGAAATCCTATTGACATATGTGAGTCAACTAAGTTATCAGTCTTCTTATTTGAGTCAAAAATAGCTTAACTTATAGTGGGATATGTAACCTTTCTGTTTATACAGGGCATTCTCCATGTACCACAAAAGTTTATAGAAGTTATTTTCTTCTTCTGGTTATTCTCATTTGATGTTCAGAACTCAGGTGTCCATGTGCCTTTCTCCCAGCATTATACAGTTTCTGATCATCCAGCAACTATGAACTACCTCACATTGTTACTTAGTCGTCCAAGGTATTCACGTAATTCTTTTGCAGCTTGGAATCTACCATATCGTTTCTTTGGATTGGCACACTCATCCAGCAAGGCCTCAAGTCGACCATCTTTGGCAATTTCAGCTGGAGGATCATGAAGAAGTCCTCCAGAAGTGCCACGCCAGGTGGCATGTCTTGATAAAAGGTTCTGGCAAACAGCATAGTAGTTGTGGTCCACAGTGACACGAGTACACAAAATTTCCTTTGAAAAAGAGAGACAAGCTTCCTTATCACAGTCATCAAACTTGCTTTCATACCATACATCCCAGTTTTCAGGTTTATCTGAAATGCACAAAAGGAACAAAATGAAAAAGTAAGAGGTTCAGAAAGCAAGACATTTTTCTCATGTTCACAATTTCAGTGCTTTTTTAAATCAAGCAAAAAGGGAAATATCAAACTGTTATGACTTAACAGTTTATCGTAAAGCAAATTACTGAAATGGGTACTACTGAACCTACAAAAAGTATATTATTTTAACACTACTAATATAAAACATGACTACTATGCACAAATATTAGCTCCTGTTTACAAAAAAATCTAAAAAGAGCTTTGGATACATCCTATCAGTAAAGCTACTCAAAACAGAATATAGGCTGAAAGGATTCAAGGAACCATGATTCTGAAATTCCGTATAAACATTAATACCAATTTAGAGAAAAGACAACTGCAACACCCTTAGTCACCAAAGCTCAAAGCTGATTTGTGGGAAAGATATATTCAGCAATCCTATATAGGATAGAACAACAATTCTATATAGGGTAGAGTACCCCGCAGAAATGAAAACAAAATTTTCTAAGCCCTCCTGGGTTGGAGGAGGAATTTTTAATCAGTTCTATTTTTTCTATTATGTGGGTTTTTAAAAAAAATTAACAAACCTTATAGGGTAGGCTAAACAGCCTGCTCTGCAACTGTTTCCTGTCCCCACTGGATTTGCAGTCCCTTTTTTCACTCACTGGGGCTTTTTCCCCTTTCCCTTTTGCCAAGTGGCTAATCAGATGCTTCCCTAGATCAATGATGGGGTTGGAAGTCTGAGTTCAGACAATGTAACAACCTACTGTGGGTCCAACAACAGTTAGAACAAGCTATGAGTTGTCAGGATGGCTTTTTGCCCACAAACATGATAACATAAAAGAAGCAGTCTGGCTTTGCATGGTGATACCCCACCATGTCTTGTCACCCGCACTGTGTTATGTGAACCCTGTCAGTGTGTTTGCTATGGATTTCTCTCTCTGGCTCCAGAGAGAGAGTCTACAGTATATTAAGGCCCTTTGGATAAATTTTCGGGGAAGGCAAAAAGTGTTCTATCCCATTTTTTGCTATACAGCAAAAATCAAGCTTAGGTTTGTTGAATGGATCCAAGTAATAATGAAGGTGTTAGTCAAGTTATTTAACATTAAATTATAATCATTTCAGAATATATTCCTATTTTAGCTTGATCGATCATTTCTACAAGCCAAAAAGAATCCAAGCACAGTTCGCATTGAGCTGATACCATGGGGTGAAAACCAAACCAACTTACTTTGTTTGATTAATCTTTTATCTGCCACCAAAACATTTTCAGCATCGACAATGATGACCTTCCCATCTCTAGGACCTACTGCAAAGTTGTCAAAGCTTACATCAAGGAGGTAGAGTGCAAATTCAAAGTCATTGTTTGTCAGCTGCTCTGCTATTTCCATTAACTGCCATGCCAGATCCACTCTTTTTTCCCATGGGGCACTGAAGTAACTCCACAGTTCTTCTCCCACATAGTTTACAGCTACCATTCTTCCACATGCTCCCAAATACTTTGCAAATGGCCATCCCTCATCGGAGGGAAAACTCTGTAAAAGGAAAGACCTTCTATTAATATTAAAAAACAATATTCCATTGAAAAATGACTGAGAAAACATTTATCTTTGAAAAAATAGTTTAGAAACATATATAAGAATAATGTCTGCTGTCCACTGAATCTAAGTAATGATTACTTCATTCCATCAACAGTAAAAGGGAGGAGTACAGATATCAAAGAGAAATACACATCTGATCTCAGTCTGGTGGGGTTTTTTTTTTTTTTTGGTTTTTGTTTTGTTTTGTTTTGTTTTGTTTTTTGTAGAAGAGGCTCATTTACAGTACACTCCTATATGTGTGTATTCAGGAATATCTCATTGCCTTCAACGGGCGCTTATTCTCAGCTAAGTGTTACAGAACTGCAGTGAACCTCAGATCCATATAAGTTTGATTTCCAAATAGTGCACAGGTCATCCACACATCCTTTGCTCTAGACCTTCATTTGCTGTTCATTGTCACTATTCTACTGCATTGATTCAAATTTTCTAGAAAATGTACTTGTAAGCCATCCAGAGACCTACAACACATTGGACGGGGTAAAAAATACCCAAATAAATAACGAAATATACCTTAAAATCCACAAAGACCTGACTCAGCATTTCAGACATAGTTATCAACATTTAAAGGGACCCTTTGTAAACTTTACATACTGTATAAATCTCAAATGTTTTGCAGATATTCAAATTATATGCCCTGAACTATTTTATTTTCAAAAATCAATAAACCATGTTTATGTGATTTAAACGTTACAGTCAAGCAAATTCAAAGCTTTACTTTATTGTAATACTTAGAAAAATTGTAAGATATTTCAAAAGCAAGTGCTTCCTTACTGTTTAGTTTTTTAAAAAAGAAAGCACTGAAAATTTTCTGTCCAAAAAGCCATACACTGACAATGTAAAGCTTGTTTCTTGGAGATGGTCACTTGCAAAAGTTAGTGTCAATGTTGCAATATTCCAGTATGAGTAGTATTGAATCCTTTCACTTAGGTAATTAGTAGCAAATACCTTCTATTTACTCCTATGAAAAAGAAGCTTTAGAAATCAACAGTTTTCCAGACTAATAATATAATGGTGAAAAAACGTTTTCCCCCATCATTCTACTGACTTCTCCCATAACCTTTTTCCTCTTAAAGATCATACTAGAATCCCATGCCACTATTTACACTGAAAATGCATTCTATCCCTTTCTAGAATATCTTCCAGTTCTCTCCCAAAGGAGCTATCCCCCCACCAATCTAGTTGCCAAAATAGTAGCCGATGTCTCCCATCCCCAGTTCTGTAACTTCTCCCTCTCCCATCATCTTACAATATTAAACAGTCCTTCAAACTGTCACCTCAGGTCAATAGCACTATTACTCAAACATTGCCACATGCCTGCAAAACAGCACCCAAAGGTATGGTGCTGACTTCTATCATTGCCCAAAGGCTGCACACGTTCCAGAGACAAGCAATGAGACATCAGTGGTACTTCTGTGTTCCAGATATTTACTATGAGAAAAATGTAGATGTTAGTTACCTAGATAGGTACCCCCTATTATTTACCCCATAAAGTATTGAAGTTATATAACTGAGTATTGTAAAGTACTCCATATCAATATAGTTATAGCACCAGTCTTTTTGATACAGATTATTTCCACAAATCTAATTTTGGAGTCTTTATCATACTTTTTATTAATGCTTACAGAAATATTATGTCTAAACATGCCAACAAGTATATGCTTAGCCCCTTGGCAAGCATATCACCTGCTTTATTCTAGATTTCGCATCAAGTCATTACAGACAACTAACTTACTAAGAGTTCCAGACCAAAAATAAAGTCCTGCAGCTCTCGGCACTCTCCAGCTAACAAGGCTGGGTGGGCAATGCTGGAAATTGCAGGGCTTTTTTCTGTCTTAACATGCATAGGATTGTACCAAGATGTTTAATACCAAGTGTGCTAAATCACTTTATAAGTAAGTTGCATTCATTGAGAAGGTATTGCATCAAGGCTGGTCATCTCATGCTTACTGTGTTAAAGGCATACACAACATCAACTTTGTAATACGTGATTTGGATTTTTATATAAAGAGCTCTATCCAATGTTAATTTAACTTACAGTATATCACAGAGGTGAGTACACCCCTCACATTTTGTAAATATTTTATTATATCTCATCATGTGACAACCCTGAAGAAATGACACTTTGCTACAATGTAAAGTAGTGAGTATACAGCTTGTCTAACAGTGTAAATTTGCTGTCCCCTCAAAATAACTCAACACACAGCCATTAATGTCTAAACCGCTGGCAACAAAAGTGAGTACACCCCTAAGTGAAACTGTCCAAACTGGCATTATTAGCCATTTCCCCTCCCTGGTGTCATGTGACTGGTTAGTGTTACAAGGTCTCAGGTGTGAATAGGGAGCAGGTGTTAAATTTGGGGTTATCACTCTCACTCTCTCATACTGGTCACTGGAAGTTCAACATGGCACCTCATGGCAAAGAACTCTCTGAGGATCTGAAAAAAAGAATTGCTGCTCTACATAAAGATGGCCGAGGCTATAAGAAGATTGCCAAGACCCTGAAACTGAGCTGCAGCACAGTGGCCAAGACTGTAATACAGCAGTTTAACAGGACAGGTTTCACTCAGAACAGGCCTTGCCATGGTCGACCAAAGAAGTTGAGTGCACGTGCTCAGTGTCATATCCAGAGGTGAGCTTTGGGAAATAGATGCATGAGTGCTGCCAGCATTGCTGCAGAGGTTGAAGGGGTGTGGGTCAGCCTGTCAGTGCTCAGACCATACGCTGTACACTGCATCAAACTGGTCTGCAGGGCTGTCGTCCCAGAAGGAAGCCTCTTCTAAAGATGATGCACAAGAAAGCCCGCAAACAGTTTGCTGAAGACAAGCAGACTAAGGACATGGATTAATGGAACCATGTCCTGTGGTCTGACGAGACCAAGATAAACTTATTTGGTTGAGATGGTGTCAAGCGTGTGTGGTGACAACAAGGTGAGGAGTACAAAGACAAGTGTGTCTTGGCTACAGTCAAGCATGGTGATGGGAGTGTCATGGTATGGGGCTGCATGAGTGCTGCCGGCACTGGGAAGCTACAGTTCATTGAGGGAACCATGAATGCCAACATGTACTGTGACATACTGAAGCAGAGCATGATCCCTTCCCTTCGGAGACTGGGCCGCAGGGCAGTATTCCAACATGATAATGACCCCAAACACACCTCCAAGATGACCACTGCCTTGCTAAAGAAGCTGAAGGTAAAGATGACGGACTGGCCAAGCATGTCTCCAGACCTAAACCCTATCGAGCATCTGTGGGGCATCCTGAAATGGAAGGTGGAGGAGCGCAAGGTTTCTAACATCCACCAGCTCCATGATGTCATTATGGAGGAGCAGAAGAGGACTCCAGTGGCAACCTGTGAAGCTCTGGTGAACTCAATGCCCAAGAGGGTTAAGGCAGTGCTGGAAAATAATGGTGGCCACACAAGATATTGACACTTTGGGCCCAATTTGGACAGTTTCACTTAGGGGTGTACTCACTTTTGTTGCCAGCGGTTTAGACATTAATGGCTGTGTGTTGAGTTATTTTGAGGGGACAGCAAATTTACACTGTTATACAAGCTGTATACTCACTACTTTACATCGTAGCAAAGTGTCATTTCTTCAGGGTTGTCACATGAAAAGATATATTTAAAAATGTGAGGGGTGTACTCACTTCTGTGATATACTGTAGGTCTTACTCATTTCAATTGACTCTACACTAAAATATTTATAGACTGTTTTAATTCTAAAATTCCTCTCCAAGTGGCTTTCAATAGTTAATATAAAACAGAAACGAACTTCAAAACAAAATAAACCATAAAGACCCAGAAATAAAAGTAGAGTATCCATCCCAACATAATACTCTATCAAATAATTACAGCTAAATCCATTTCAATTTGACAGCCCAATAAAACCCATTTCTGAAAACATCATAGAAAATAATTATTTCAAGTTCTTCTGAAGGCCTGCTGATAGCGCCTGACATAATCCTATGGACTGCACATTCTGTATTGGACAGAGACAGAAAGCTACCAATTGTACATGTTATAAAACAACCACAGCTGATCTGTTCCAACTTGGTAAAGAGCCAAACATAGTAAATGGCAGCAGTAGGCCAGGTACTGAAATCTCCTTAACTGTCACTGCAACAAATCCCAGCAACAAATTGAGAAACCAAAAGCAAAAAGCAGCCTGGCAATTACAGCACTGGGAGTGCCACAATGGAAATTAAGGTGAACCACACAGGAGTTTTCTAGGATTTGAATAAGTACTGTATCATTCATATAGACACATGCCTTTGTAGCAAAGCAAATTAAACAGTCATTCTATGCATGACCACAGAAAACCACAAAGACCTTATCTTTCTGCTGAGCTCAGCCAAGTAGCAAGAACACCCAACATGTATGAGACCCTTACATGAGACAAGCAGAAGGGAATGTGCATTCTATTTCCAGCTTGAACTCCTTTGGAAGCTGTCTGCAATCTCCATGGTGCTATTCCTCACATTCACAACAGTTCTACTGGTGTTTAACTTATATTCTAGCATGCTGAGATGCCCTGAAGGAAAGTTCAAAAAGCCTGCTAACCAGCAAACAAAACATACACAACTTGGCTGCACAGATGGGTCAGAGGGCAACAAGCAGTTGCAACAAGTGACTGCTGCATTAAAAATGTTCTGTAAACAGACTGAAAGTCACAAGGTATAGAAGACTTCATATCTCTGCATTCACCACAAAAATCAAATGCTTCAATTTGTCAACAATATTTCATAAACAGGGAGAGTGCTTAGAAAACTGATATCCTTGGCACAAGAAAGACTTTAGGAGTAAGAGCTAAAGTAGCGGTTGCTGCTTCTTTTCCACTAATTAATGTGTTAACTCTGCGGCCTTAGTGTACTGAAGATGCCAGCCTAATTCCCTTTTGTTTCCCAGAGGAAATATCCTGAAAGGAATGGCTCACT